CCCCCCCGAAAAGGGAGTACAGGAGTACATGAGGAATGGTCATTGCTCAAAAACATAATCCTTGAAGCACAGGGCAAAGCCCTCCCTTCTTGCAAGAAATGTGGTCAACAAGCAAGGAAGCCTCTATGGCTGAATAAGGAACTATTGGACCTCATTAAGCTCAAAAAAGTAGCCTACACCAGCTGGAAAACAGGAAGCATTACCAAAGAGGGTTGCCCTGCACTCGACCACACCTCCAGAGCGGCTGAGAAAAGTCAAGACACAAACCGAACTTAGGCTAGCTATGGAGATCAAGGACAACAAAAAGTCCTTCTTAGATATGTGGGAAGTAGGAAAAATAACAAGGACAGTATTGGGCCCGTGAGAGATCCAACGGGACAACTGACATCAGATGCCGAAGAAAAGGCCAGTCTCCTAAATTACTTTTTTGCATCTGTTTTCCCACCTTCTATGAGGATCACTCTGCCAGAAATGGCACAAACCCATTTAGGACTGGGTGACAGGCCCAAAATCTGTGTGGATCAGGTGAGGGAACACCTTGAGAAACTGGACATTCACAAGTGTGTGGGCCCAGACGGAATGCATCTGAGAGTCTTGGAGGAGCTGGCAGACATCATTGCATTCCCCTTAGCAGCAATATTTGAAAAATTGTGGTACTCAGGCAAGGTCCCAGATGACTGGGAAAGAGCCAGTGTGGTCCCTATCTTCAAAAAAAGGGCAGAGGAGTGACCTGGGGTACTATAGACCAATCAGTCTGACGTCCATCCCTGGAAAAATCCTGAAGAAAATTTGACAAGGGATCCATCAATGGCAGACTCACGGAAGGCAAGCTTCCGAATGCCAGCCAACATGGCTTTGTGACTGGCAGTTCTTGCCTGACCAACCTCATCTCCTTCTATGACCAAGTAACATGTGCCCTGGAAAAGGAGATGATGTGGATGTCATTTATCTGGACTTCAGGAAGGCCTTTGACCTAGTTCCCCATGATGTCCTCACAGTTAAGTCGGAGAACTGTGGCCTTGATCATCATATGATCCAATGGCTAGGCAGCTGGCTACGGGGTCGGACCAAAAGAGTACTAGTTGAAGGGAGCAAATCAACATGGTGCCCTCAGGGCAAATTACCAGCGGAGTCCCTCAGGGCTCAGTACTTGGGCCAGTACTCTTTAACATTTTCATCAATGATCTAGCTTCCGGAGTCAGATGTGAACTGGCCAAGTTCGTGGAAGATACCAAATTATGGGGGAGGATTGTCACACTGCAGGATGGGCTGGGGATACAGGCTGACTTGGACACGCTCTCAAGGAGGGCCAGCCAAAACTGGATGGCCTTTAATACAGAGAAGTGCAAGGTGCTGCACCTCAGTGTAAAGAACCCTCAGCATACTTATAGGCAGTGCTATGCTTGCTAGCGCCATGACCAAAAGGGAGTTGGAGGTCTTGATTGATCACAAGATGAATATGAACCACCAGTGTGATGCGTTGGCAGGCAAACTCTGGCGTGCATCTACTGATGCATCTCAAGCAAAAACTGGGGAAGTCATTTTCACGCTTTACTTGGCCCTGGTGAAACTGCAGCTGGAGTAGTGCATTCAGTATTGCCCCCCCCCCCACCCCCGCTTCAAGAAGGATGTGGAGAAGCTTGAAAGAGTCCAGAGAAGAGCCACTCGTATGATCTAGGACCTGGAGGGAAGGCTGTATGAAGAGAAGCTGAGGGACTTGGGACTCTTCAGTCTGGAGAAGAGAAGGGTCAGGGGGGACTTGGTGGCAGCCTACAACTTCATAAGCAGAGTATATCAGGACCTGGGAGAATATCTGTTCACCAGAGCTTCCCAAGGGATAACAAGGTCTAATGGCCATAAACTCCAGGAAGCCCAATTTTAGATTGGATTAAAGAAAAAAGTTCTTTATGGTGTGTGTGTCCAGGGTCTTGAACAAACTCCCCCAGAGGTGGTGAAGGCACCTACTCTGGATTCCTTCAAAAAACAGCTGGATTTCTTTCTTTCTGGGGTCACTTGATCCCAGCTGACTTCCTGCCTATGATGGACAGGCTGGACTCAATGATTTCATTAGGTCCCTTCCCTCCTCTAATGTTTGTGAAATCTATGAAATATTACTGGTAACACTTATATAAGAATAACTTTGAGATGGCTAATTTTCATTTTAGAAAATGTTTTTGAAAGGTAGCAGATGGCAAGGTATATAGGCACTTGTTTGAATGGCAGTATCTCTCATTAAACAAACCATGCCTTTTTTTTTTTTTTTCCCTCAAAATGGTATCCCTGAAAACAGCCTCCAGAGAAATTGACAGCCTCCAGTTGGAAATTTTTTGACAGTATTTACATCATGGAAACCAAAACTTTCTTTTTTGTGGAAATGTATTGAAAGTTTCAGTAGAAAGTTTATTTCTGGTCCAAAACAGAGAGAATGAGGCCATCCAAGAATAGGCATTAATCTGATGTTTAAGACAGATACAGGAAACCCATTTTCAGATCATTGCTGTGAATTTGACTAAATTTGATCCTGGATCTTCAACATGTCTGGTAAGTTACCCCTAAGCACTGGCAATCCTAATGAGTGCAGATTTAAATATGTCAGTCTCCCCCTCCCCCTTTCTCTCTCTTTGTCTCTGTCTCTCTTTCTCTGTCTTTTGTTCTTTTGGAAAAAGTGTTAAAACAATTATTCTGATGCAAAAGGAATCAAAACTTTTTTCATTTTGAAAAAAAAAACGACTTTTTCCAGCCAGTTCTTAGAGGGTTTCCTTCACTTGGTAGTGTTTCTAATTTATCAGATCAGATGCCAAAATTTACCATGATTCAATAAAGCACATAAACATATTCTTAAAATATGTGCATATGCACTTTGATGGTTTTGCACATTTGTGTTAAACTGATTGGCTGATAACTAGCTATGTGCAATAGTGATTGTTTTCCCCTTTTACTTCACTTTTTTGCAAATTTTGTTTTCCCCTAGTTTTGAAGAGTTAGATGGTAAAACTGAAAAACCATTTCTTAGGTCATTCAGTCTATTCCCCTGCTGTTGCAGGATTGTGCAGCTGTGTCATAGTTTGTTTTCCAATGCTCTCTCCAGCCTAATTTTTTAAATATGCCAGGAAATAGGGCTTCCACCAATTTCCTTAAAAAATTTTTTCCACTGTTGTGTAGTTATCACCATTAGGACATTTTCCCTGCTATTCAGACTAAATCTTCATTTCTTAATTTAATCCTGTTACTTACAGACATTTCCATGTCAGGAAAGTAGGTGTTTCCATTGCTGACTGTTCTAGTTTGTTCCATAATTAATTTGCCCCTTATGAACAAAAGTTAAGGTTCTGTTCATTTTTAATCAAGAGCAATGGAAGTATGAAGATGTTCCACAAGTTCTTCATATTTTTTTGTGTCTTGCATTGCATTTGTAATTGTGGAAGGGTACTTCATATACCAGAAAAGTTGTCTATATCCCTCTCAACTATACATTTGGCCCAATAAAAGATATCAGCCACAAAAATCCTACCCTGTTGTCAACACTGATTTATGTGTTGGAAGATGCAGTTGATAGGACTAATTTTCTAATCGTCATTACTTCATCAGGATTCTGCAAGCTGCAGGAGTTGTAAACCAGTGTACAGCCCCAATGACTTCACTAGGGCTTCATAAGCCTAGGAGTTTGCCAGCATGCAACAGGTTGTAGGTCAGACGGTCTATGTACAACTATGATGAATATTGGAAATTTAATATTCATTATTTCATTTCCCTCTGATTTGTTTGTATTTTGTTTTTTAGCTAATAGTATCCAATCCTGAATACTGCTTAATGGTTTAAATATTTTTCAGCCACTCTCCAATTTGGAACCTTCTTAACATGCACATGATAAATTATGGGCGCTTACACAGGTTACATTTTTCGTATGATAAGCCCCCTGAAAGTGCTGTACAGCCATGAGATAACACACATGCAAAACTGTAGAGCACTTTTCAAAAGACTCATCACGTGAAAGATTAACCCTTGTTAAATCAGCTATTAGCTGAAGTCGCTCTAGAGCAGAGCGCCTTAGGGAACTTTTGTTCAGCTTCCCTGCAAGGGTTAAGTATGGGTGATTCCACCTGCATCCCATGCACCTTTGCAGGGTTGGGATGGTGTTTGCACCAGCCCAGCCAGGCCCCTGGGGCTATCACAGAGAGGAGAGTGGGAGGAGCGGGGAAGGTATCCCTGTGGCCATCTTGAAGGAAGCTAAGCAAGGTGAAGGGACTCTGTTCCCTCCACCCTCCTCCCCAGCTCTGGCTATAGTAAAGGTGAGTCAGAAGCTGTGTGACGCCAGTCAAAAGGCTTGGCCACAGGGTGTGGGAAGGGATCTCCTCCCACCTCACAGGCCTAGCATGGATCCCCCAATACTCCAGCCAGGGTAATGGGGAGGGGAGGCATGTTGTGGGGGCTCCCTTCTCCCACCTCTGCCTGAGCCTCTTGACAAGGGCAGCACATAGCTGCTGACTTGGCTTTGGCATGGCTGTGGGTGGGGTTGGGCTGGTGAGAGGGGCGTTTTGGCAGCCTCCTTGAATCCTGATGGAGGGGTGGGGCTGGGGAGTGGGGCTTTTTGGCAGTCTCATTAGAGGC